TTTGTTTGCAGATAGGCATGGCTTACTTGGTGGATGTGGGTTAGGGTACTGCTTGACTCAGTGGCCCTCCTGGCCACACTTGAAACAGGCTCCCGGGGGAGCTTTGTTACCCATCTCCGGACGTCGAGATACCCCCGTACCCTGTTGCATTGGCCTCAGGGCTGCAACCAGGGCACAGGCTTGCGCTTTAGCAACCTGCTAGAGGCACTGCTGCCTAGCGGTTTCTGCATCTTCCTCACGGGCATTAAAAACCTTAAAGGCCATGTTTACCAGGTCACGGACAGGGGTTTGAGGGCCATCCTCTGCCTTCTTTAGCTTTCTGCGGATATCAGGGGCAGATTGCGTAATGAAATGGGTAGCAAGAACAGTAGCCCCGGCAGGATCGTCTGGACTGAGGCAGGTGTGGAGAGTCATAGCCTCAGTGAGGCGATTTAGAAAAACAGCCGGGTTTTCATTTGGGCCTTAGGTTATTTCCCTAAGCTTATCCTAATTCACTACCTTTTGAGATGCCGCCTCAAGTCCTGCCTGAATGCAGCGTATCATGTGATCTCTACGTCTACGTCCTATATGGCCGGCTTGGTAGTCCCAATTGGGGTCCATTGCCGGGACGGCCTCGGCCCCCACTGACTGCGTGTTGTCTGTTAGATGGACTTTATCTGCATACTCCCAAGCAGTGGCCATGATATGATCCCGTTTGTCGGGAGTGAGGGTGGAAGTAGAGATAACATGAATATCATGCCATGTCAGATCATATGCCTGGGTAAGGTAACGGAACTCTTTGGCAAAGGCAGTAGGGTTGGCAGAAAACGACCTCAATCGTTTTTCAATGGCAGATAAGTTGGCCAAGGAAAAAGGGACGTGTGCTCACATAATGCCATCTGGACCTGCAACCTCTCAGAGAGGACAAATGGGCGCAGGAGTAACGGGGTGGGGAGGATGGTCCATATAATGTGAGTGGGTATGTGCACTGACTGGAGAGGGGAGAGAGAGCGGTGGAAGGGGAGAGTCGGAAGATGAAGGAGGAAGATGAGGATAGAGAGAGGGCGGGTTGTATGGAAGTGGGTTGGAAGAAGGAGGAGGAGGATTTGGAGGGCGAGGGTTGGCGCAGCTAAGTCTTCCAGAAGGTCTATGAGGGGGGAAGGCTCTGGATCAGGTGGAAGAGGCTTGTTGTACTTGGGTGGGGGGGCTGGGGCAGGGGAAGGGGAAGGGGGCTTCCCTTTGCCAGCAAGATTTGGGTTGTGGAACAATACTGACACAGGGAAGGATGGGAGCACAGGAGCCAGAAGGCCTGAACATAGGGAATTTCCGACCATTTTCCACTGCATTTGCAGAAATTATCCAAGTCAGTGAGGATGTTAAAATTAATAGTTTCCTCGGGGGGCCATTCGGACCCATTATCCAGTTTATACTGAGGCCAGGCCATAGTACAGAAGTGGACGAGGTATTTGCGACGAATGTCCGGGGTTAATCCTAATTTGTTCAGATTACTGAGAAGACAGCCCAGCGGCGTCTTACAATTAGATTTGGAGGGTTGGTTACCCATGTTGATCTAAATTTCCGGGGCCTGTCTGAGTCTGAAAAGGTGTCTCAATTCAGGCAAAAACTAGCCGGGCAGAGTGAAGGTCAGGATAAACAGGGCGTCCCCAGGATTTATTGCTGACTGGAACCAAGGGCTTTCCCTGGCACAACTGTGACTTCTGATAGGGAGGCCCAGAGGGGGAAAGAGAGACTGACACGGGGGAAACTCACCTCACGAAAGTTTGAGTGGAAGAGTGGGTCGGAGATTTGCAGTTCAGGCTGGAGGCGTCTGGGCAGGAGGTCCCAGAGCCGGGAGGTGAGGCCTGTGTGGCTCAGTCACCTCCCAGGTTTCGGCACCAAGATGTAACGTTTGGAGATACCAAAAAAGGCACAGGACAAAGGGCCAGTATAAACCAAGCGTTTATTGGGGGAGAAACTCCCGGGCAAGGTCCCGTGGTCTAGAAGACTGGCTGGGCAGAGTGAAGGTCAGGATAAACAGGGTGTCCCCAGGATTTATCGCTGACTGGAACCAAGGGCTTTCCCTAGCACAACTGTGACTTCTGATAGGGAGGCCCGGAGGGGGAAAGAGAGACTGACACGGGGGGAGCTCTCGTGCCAGGGAGTTGCGCCCAAGGAGGGGCAGGCTTGGGTTTTTAAGGGTGCTGTAATTGGGGAGGGTATTGGGGGCGGCAGTGAAGCGGGGAGACAAAGCGTCGCATCCGGCATGGGCTGGAAAGTTTGGCTGGCCCTTTTCAGCAGCTGCCAGCAGGTTCCAGTAAGCTGGTATGTGGTTTGTGGGTTTAGGATGGAGGGGCGCATAGGGGATCGGTGGGTGAAGGGGCAGATGGGGGAAGGTGAGTGCTGCTTCTCCCCAGCCTAACACTTACCATGTCATTTTTTAAAAAACATGGTTCTGAAGGGTGTTTTTCACATTATTTTAAAGTAATATTATTTATATTCTGCATAATAATTCATACATTCAGAGAAGATGGTTTTACAAAAAAAAAGAATCTTAGATTACTGTTAAATTAAGAATACAAGCTCTTCATTTCTATACTTCTCCAGTGAGCTGCAAAATTTCCATTGAGATGCCTCAAAATACATCTGACTGTAGACTCTCCAGACAAATTGCAATCATTTTAAAATGTTACATTATTTGTTATGAGAAAGTCAATACTTCAACTTATTTTAGTTCTTTACCCATTAATTACTTTAACTTTCATAAATAAGAATGTAAGGCTTTTAGAGTTTTGACATAGCATGGTCCGTTTAACACTCTATAGACAGTTAAGAACGTATCAGCCGGACTCAGTGGCTCAGCCTGTAATCCCAGTGCTTTGGGTGACTGAGTTAAGTGGATTGCCTGAGGCTACGGATTCGAGACCCACCAGGGCAACTTGGTGAGACCTCATCTCTACAATAAAATCAAAAATTAGCCGGGCGTGGTAGCGCATGCCTGTAGTTCCAGCTACTTAGAAGACTGAGGCGGAAGGCTCGCTAGAGCCCAGCAGGTCAAGGCTGCGGTGACAGGGAGCGTGCCACTGCACTCCAGTCTGGGTGACAGAGTGAGACTCCAACTCAAAAAAAAAAAAAAAAGAACATATCAAGTAAAATGAGACATACAGAGGAATGTATCCTTGACCATGAATTATAGATGAAAAGGATTCCAGATTTGAAATAAATTGATTACAGAGGCATTCATGAAGAGATAAAAAATATACTACCAATGATAGATGATAAACAGTTGAATATATTTTGTGAAATTTCCCCTAATTTTCAGTTGTAGCATTTATAGACATTTACAAATGTTGTCATTGTTGTTTATATTGATTCTTCTTGGAATTATCATATTCTTGTTTTTCTACCGAGGGGTGTTTTCCATTGCATGTATTTACTCATCTACTGAAGGGCATCTTGGTAACTTCCAAGTTTTGGTCATTATGAATAAAGCTGCTATTACCATCTGCATTCAGGTTTTTGTATAGACATACATTTCCAACTCATTTGGGCATGATTGCTGGATTGTGTGGCAAGAATATGTTTGATTTTATAAGAAACTGCCAAACCACCTCTCAAAGTACATTCCCATCATCAGTGACTGAGAGTTCCTATTGTTCCACATTGTCATCATCACTTGATATTACCAGTGTTTTATTTTTGTCATTCTAATAGAGGTGTAATTGTATCTCCTTGTTTTAATTTGTAATTCTGTAATGAAATAATGATGCTGAGCATTTTTTCCTATGCTTAGTTGCCATGTGTATATCTTTTTTGCTCAGATATTTTGCTCATTTTAGAACTGGGTTGTTCATTTTCTTATTGCTGAGTTGCTACAGTTTTTATGTTATAAAATGAATGATAAAAAACTTAGAAAGTATATCACCAAAGAATATAAACAGATGGCAATTAAGTCAATGAAAAGATGCTCAACATCATTAATAACAGAAAAATCACAATGAAATATTACTACACAAGAATGATGAAAACAAAAAAACCTGATAATACCAAGTGTTGACAAGTTATGGAGACACTGAAACCTTCATGGATTGCTAGTGGGAATTGTAAAATTTTGTGGCTACCATGAAGAATAACTTGGCATTTAAAAGTTAAATGTGCAGTTACCATGCATCCTAGCAACTGGACTCTTAAAATATCTACTCCTGCCGGGCTCGGTGGCTCAGCCTGTAATCCCGCGCCTTTGGGAGGCTGAGGTGAGTGGATTGCCTGAGCCCGCGGGTTTGAGACCCGCCTGGGCAGCGAGACCTCATCTCTACAATAAATCAAAAAATCAGCCGGGCGTGGTAGCGCATGCCTGTAATTCCGGCTACTCGGAAGGCTGAGGCGGAAGGGTCGCCGGAACCCAGCAGGTCGAGGCTGCGGTGGCCGGGAGCGGCCACTGCACTCCAGTCTGGGCGACAGAGTGAGACTCCAACTCAAAAAAAAAAAAAAATCTACTCCTAAGGAATGAAAAACATTTCCACACAAGTATCAGTACATGAATATGTATAGCAACATTATTTATAATAGCCAAAAATCAGAAACATGCTTATGTCCATCAACTAGTGAATGGATAAGAGAAATATAGTATTTTCATTTGACTGCTGCTCATAATAAAAAAAAACAAACTATTTATAAATGCAACTACATGGATTAACCTAATAAACATAATGCTGAATGATAAATGACAAACACATTTTATGATTCCATTTTTATGTAATTCTAAAAAAGACAAAATTATTATAAGCATAGAAATCAGATCAGTGTTTGCTGGCAACTGATAGTGGGAGCAAAGATTGACTAAGAATGGTCACAAGGGTGGAGTGACATAAGTGTTCTAGAACCTGATTGTGGTTCTAAGAACAAACTCACTGCTTGAACTGTACACTTAAAATGTGTGAATTTTGTGGTTTGTAAAGTTACCTCAATATGGCTATTATCAACAAAAAACATATAATAATATGTTTTATCCTTTTCCTACCTAGGTAATTATCTGCAATAAATTTTCTGAGAAGTTGGTAGAATTTCCACTGTTAATGTCTTGGTACCAGAGGATTCAGGAAGTGCCAAGAGTAAAAATAGCAGCTTCAAAGTGTGGGATCCAATTTCTCCATTTACCAGATTTGACAACTTCAAATGAACAGCATCCAAACTTAAATGAAGTCCCAGGTGTAGAAGAACAGAATAACCCTTTATTTATAGGTGGACCAAGACCAACTATGACCAAGTTAATGGTACTTAAATTGTTTTGTTAAAATTTTCTTTGAAAAATTCCATGTGATAATGTTGCTGAGAATTCTACTCAACTTGTAATCATTTGTTGACATTATTTTTGCTATAAATTTTATTTGTAGCTATCCTGCATCACTCTGTGCCAATTAATATTTCTGCTAGTGTTTTGCATTTAAGTGAAATATACTTAATTAAAGATTTTTTTAATATTCAGGATATTGTCCAAAGTAGTATCATCCTGGTCAAGTGTATTTTTCTTTTGCAAGATTTTAATCTCGGTCTCTGAGTTTGGGATGACAATTTCAAGTTAAAGAAATATAAGAGCCAGGCTCGGTGGCTCAGCCTGTAATCCCGCGCCTTTGGGAGGCTGAGGTGAGTGGATTGCCTGAGCCTGTGGGTTCGAGACCTGCCTGGGCAGCGAGACCTCATCTCTGCAATAAATTTAAAAAAAACAGCTGGGCGTGGTAGCGCATGCCTGTAATTCCGGCTACTTAAATGAAGGATGAGGCAGAAGGATCGCCAGAGCCCAGCAGGTGGAGGCTGCGGTGGCCAGGAGCGGCCACTGCACTCCAGTCTGGGCAACAGAGTGAGACTCCAACTCAAAAAACAAACAAACAAACAAAAAAGAAATATAAAGATGAATATTTCAATTTACTTTCCAAGGTGTTGTCTAAATTTACAATTTCGAACTTTTTTAAATTTTATTTTTACTTTAATCTTTGATTTTAATGTGTTTACTACATAAGAATACATATGCTTTATTTGTTTTTTCTGTTTGGGACAACACTTTTTCCAATAGTACCAATGTAAAGTTTTCAACAATAAACTTTCTTTTCCTTACTGTTTGAAACAATCTGCAAAAATGTTTTGCTTTTAAGATGGTTACACTATTGAGGGATCTCTGACTCACTTCTTAAGTGGATTTGGAGCCTTTTTAGGAAACAATGAAAATATTCTAAAATTAGAAAATGGTAATGATTGAACAACTATAAATATTCTATTTGAAGATAGAGGATAATTTATGAAATAATTTAAATCCACTGGGAAAATATTTATTATATTTCCATCCTTGGCTTAGGAATTATTTGATTTCTATAGTTAACAGAAATGCACAAGAAGACTTTGGTAGGGGCACAAACTTCTTAACTCTTCAACTAAGCTCTGTAGCCGATAAAATAATAAAACATAATTATATCGTTGATTTTAGAAGTTATCACCTCCTTCCAGCTTTTGATATGTCTTGAATACATAGTTACGCTGTCGAGGGATCTCTGGCTCACCTCTTGAGGGGGTATGGAGCTTCTTTTGGAAACAAAATATTCTGAAATTAGATAGTGGTAATGGTTGAACAACCATGAATAAAAACCACTGAATTGTATGCTGTAAAAGGGTAAATTTTGTGGCCTGTAAACTATATCTCAATATAGTTATATTTTTTTAAAAAGACCTTAAAGTGAGAATGAGCTTAGTGAAATAAGGAATATCAAGGTCAATGTGGCTAGTCTAAAGAAGATAGAAGAAAGGTAGATGATGTCAGAGAAATATGTTTATATTTCTGGAGTCAAATGAGTGCTCTAGATTTTCTAGACCAATAGTTATATCTCTAGTTTTAACAAAAGATTCTTTTTACTATTTCTTTTGGGACTCAAATTCAACTAGTTTTTATGATGGAATATAATCTTATAAACTAACTGATACAGAGGATTTAATGCTGGAGTCTCAAAGAGTTTTCTTTAGAAAAGATTATTTCCGGAGATAAAAATATCTGAAGCATGGACATATACACTGTGGGAGGTGGACTCAGAATGTAATTTGAAGGTATTTTTGAATCTATGACTATGCCATGCCACTGTATGTAGATCAAGTAAATAAAAGTAAATAAATGGGGAAGGAGCTTGAAAATGTTTTAGTGTATTAAAAAGTGGGCCTTATTCATGAAAATGCCGGGAGCTATTTATAAACCAGAGGAATCCTTTTCTAGGAACATTACAAGCACTTGTTAAAGACTAGTGTGAGTGATGTTTTAGGGTGTGTACTGTAAAAATAGCTAATAGTCTGTGGTAGTTTTCATGTATCTAAAGAGAGACCTTGATGAACATGTGCAGTCAGTTTTTTGTTTTTTCTGTGTAGGTTGTTTTTGATAACATTTTTATCTTTGGGTGGCTTTTCTCTTTGATATCTAATATATTTCTAGGTAGCACAGTACTTCTATAATAATAATTTTAATAGCATTACTTTTTATTATCTTAATATAAAATTAATATACAAGGAACTGTGATGTCAAAAAACCAACATGTATTTTTATTTACTTGATAAGTATTTTGGGGAATATCTGATAATTATTACTATTTATGCCTCTCCTTACCAGTATAGAAAATTAAAAATTTAGCCTTCAAGAACATAAGAGGATTATATCATTTATTAATTCGGAAAGAGGCTATTTTCTTTTCTAGGCAAAAGGCATCGAAGTGATGTTTTCTCCCCACCCTTGCCCTACCTGGACCCTTGATTGGAATGGTCTCCCTGCAGCAGTGAACCCAAAGGAAGGTGAGTTTCCTTTTTAAATTTTACTCACAATCTGAATATTCCCTTTAGATCTGTCTTCTATTTCTCTCTTTGGCTTTGTCTAATATTCTGATTACACTATCCATTGAGTTTTTCTTTTTATTTTTATGAATATTTTATATATACACACCACTCAAGTTTAATATTTTCTGCATTTTTCTACATTTGTTTCATCTGTTACTTTTTTTCTTTACTGACACATTTCAAAATGAACCTGGCACCTCTTGCACTTACTCTCTCTTGCTTTCTTACTCTTGTCATGTGATGCCTGCTTCCATTTGCTGTCTCACATGAGTAAAAGATTCTTAAGACCCTCACCAGAAGCAGGTACTGGTGCCATGCTTCTTGTTGCAGCCTGCATAACTGTAAGCCCAATAAACCACTCTTCATTATAAATTACCCAACCTCAGTTTGTTTGTTTTTTAATAGCAACAAGCAAGTGGACTAAGACAAGTAGATTTATTTCTGGGTTCTCCATTCTGTTCCTTTGGTCCATGGGTCAATTTTCATGCCAGTACCATGCTGTTTTGGCCACTGTTTAGCCTTGTAATATATTTGGAAGTTGGGTATTCAGCCTCAATAATGGTTCTATATGAAGTTTAGGACTTTTTAAATATTTCTGTGAAGAATGTCATTTGTATTTTGATAGAGATTACATTAAATCTGTAGATCACTTTTGGTAGTGTGGTCACTTTTACCATATTCATTCTGTATAAATGTGTTTTTCTATTTTTGTGTGTGTGTATCCTCTTCAATATCTTTCATCAGTGTTTCATAGTTTTTCTTATAAAAATTCTTTTACCTCCTTAGTTAAATTTATTCTTTGAGTTTTCTTTTGATTTTAACTATTATAAAGGTATTGCTTTCTTGATTTCTTATTCTGCTTGTTCATTGTTTCTGAATAAAAATATATTACTACTAAATCTTGTATGTTGATTTTGAATCCTGCAATTTTGCTAAATTTGTTTATAAGTTCTAAGAGATTTTTGGTACAGCTTTTTAGGCTTTTCTATATATAAGATTGTGTCATCTGTAAGCAGGGACGGTATGACTTCATGACTTCTTCCTTTCCAATTTGGATGTTCTTTATTTCTCTTGTCTAGTTGCTCTGGCTAGGACTTACAGTACTATGTTGAATTAGGGCTGGTGAGGGTAGGCAAACATCTTATACTAGTTTTGTTTTGTTGTTTTTTTTATCAGGGTGTCACTCTGTCACTCAGACTGGAGTGCAGTGCCACAATCATGACTCACCACAGTGTCAACTTCCTGGGCTCAGGTGATCCTTCTGCCTTAGCCTCCTGAGTAGCTGGGACTACAGGCATGTGCCACCATGACTGATTACTATTTTTTTTAAAAGATGAGGTCTCATCATGTTGCCCAAGTTGGTCTTAAGCACCTGGGCTCATGCAGTCCTCTCGCTTCAGCCACTCTCAGTGCTGGGATTACAAGTGTGAGCCACTGTGCCTGACCTTATTCTAGTTCTAAGAGGAAATGCTTTCAACTTTTCCCAATTCAGTTTGATGTTAGTTGTGAATTTGTCATAGGTGACTTTATTATGTTTGACTGAGTATATTTATAACTAGGTATAAAGTCTTGTCCCTTTTATACCTAGTTTTATGAGAGCTTTTTATCATGAATTTTATTGAATTTTACCTAATACTTTTTCTGCATGTATTAAGATGATCATTAAGATTTTTGTTTTTCATTCTGTTGATATGATGTATCTGGTTGATTGATTTCAATATATTGAACTATCCTTGCATCCCTATGATAAATATCACTTTATCATTGTGAATGACTTTAAAGTGCTGCTGGATTCTGCTTCTTAGTATTTTGTTGAGTTTTTTTACATTGGTATCCATCAGATATATTGGTCTATATTTTTCTTTTTTATTGTATCCTTGTATAATTTTGATATCAGGGTAGGGCTTTTGGGATGAGTTTGGAAGAATTTTCAACTTTTCAGTTTTATAGAAGTGTTTGAGATGAATCAGTATTAAATATTTTTTAAATGTTTGGTAGAATTCAGCTATGAAACCATTAGGTCCTGGGCTTTTCTTTAGTAGAATATTTATTATTACAGACTCAGTCTTGTAATTATAATTCATCTGTTCATTCTATTTCTTCTTGGCTCAATCTTGGTAGATTGTGTATGCCTTGGAATTTATCCTTTTCTCTAGGTTTTCCAAATTTTGTTGACATATAATTGTTCATAATAGTCTCTATAGAGCTTTTGTATTTCTGTGGTCTCAGGTATGATGTTTTCTTTTTCATTTCTGATTTTGTTTATTTGGGACGCTTCTCTTTTTTTATTTTTTAGTCTAGCTAATTGTATGTTAAGTTTGTTTATCTTTTCAAAATACCAGCTTTTTGTTTTGGTGATTTTTTTTTTTTTTTTTTAGTTTTGCTTTTTTTTTTTTTTTAAAGTCTCGAATTTGTTTATTTCTGACCTGATCATTATTATTTCTTTTCTTCCATTAATTTTGGGTTTGGCTTGCTCTTGCTTTTCTAGTTCCTTCAGATTTGCATTATTAGATTGTTTATTTAAAACTTTATTTATTTAAACATTTTTTGTAGGTTTTATTGCTATATTTCTCTAATACTGCTTTTGCTGTGTTCTATCAGTTTTGACATGTTGAGTCTGAATTTTTGTTTGTTTCAAATAATATTTCAGGTTTTTTTCTTCCTTTTAAAAAAATTGACCCATTTGTTGTTCGGGGGCATGTTGTTTAATTTCCATGTATTTCTACACTTTCAAAAGTTTCTCTTGTTATTCTAGTTTTATTTCATTGCAGTCAGAAAATATACTTGGTATGATTTCAGTTTTTAAAAATCTATTGAGATTTCTTTTGTGGCCTAACATGTAGTCTATCCTTGAATATGTTCCATGTGCTGATGCAAAGAATATTTATTCTAAAACTGTGGGGTGAAATTTTCTGTTAATGTCTATTAAGTCTATTTAGTCTAAAGTGTAGTTAAAATCCAATGCTTCTTCTCTGATTTCCTGTCTAAATGATCTATGCAGTTTTGAGAGTAGAATATTGAATTACTCAACTATTATTGTTTTGGAGTCTATTTCTCCTGTTAGAGCTGTTAATATTTGTTTTACATGTATGGGCTCTTTTGTGCTGGGTGCATAATCATTTATAGTTGCCATAGTCTTTTGCTGAATTGATTATTTTAACATTATATAATGACTTAGTCTCTTTTTACACATTTTGATTAAATGTCTGTTTTATTTGATATACATATAGCTATTCCTACTCATTTTTGGTTTTCGTTTGCATGGAATATTTTTTTCCATCCCTTCACTTCAGTCTATGTGTGTCTTTACAGATGAAGTCAGTTTCTTGTAGGTGGCATGTAGTTGGATATGTGTTTTTAACCACTCAGCCATTCTCAATTTTTTAAGTGGAGAATTTAATCTGTTTACATTAAAAGTTATAATTGATAGGTGAGAACTTACTCCTGACATTTTATTCATTATTGTCTTGTTTTTTATATCTTTTATTGCTTTCTTTCTCTCTTGTTGTTTGTCATTCTTGTTTGGTACTTTTCTATAGTGCTAAGTTTTGCTTAATTTCTCTTTCTTCCTTATATATCTACTTTACTGGTGAGTTTTTTATTTTGTGTATTTTCATGATGGTTATTATCATCTTTTTGCTTCCAGTAAGGTAGCACTCCCTTGAGCATTTCTTCTCAGACGTGTCTAATAGTGATGAATTCCCTTAGTTTTTGCTCATCCAGGAAAGATTTTATTTCTCTTTCCTTTCTGAAGGATAGCTTTGTAGAATATAGTATTTTTGGTTGACAACTAATTTCTTTCAGCACTTTGAATATATCATTCCATTTTCTCCAGGACTGTTTTTGCTAAGAAATCTGCAGGTAGTCTAATGATGATTCACTTACATGTGACTTGACAGTTTTTTCTTACTGATTTTAGAGTTCTCAATTTGGCTAGAATGTGCCTCAGAGAGGGCCTTTTTGGGTTGTATCTTTGGGGGAAATTTTGAGCTTCTTGGATCTGAATGTCTTTATCTCTCCCAAAACTTGGGAAGTTTTGAGTGATTATTTTATTAAATTGATTTTCTATGCCCTTCCCCCTTCTCTTTCTTTTTTCATAACAATAATATGAAAACTTGTTCTCTTACTGGTGTCCCATAACTCTTGTTGGCTTTCTTTACTCTTTTTAATTCTCTTTTTCTTCTGACTGGGTAATTTCAATGGATCTCTCTTTAGGTTCAAAGATTATTCTGCTTGAGCAAGTCTGCTATTTAAGCTCTATTGTATTATTGTATTTTTAAAATTTATTCACTGAGTTCTTCAGCTGCAGGATTTCTGTTTGGTTCTTTTAAAGATATTTATCTCTGCTAAATTTATCATTTATAGTGTGACTCACTTTCCTGATTTTATTGAATTATCTATCTATAGTTTTCAAACTAAATACTTTCATATTGACTCCTATGTTAACTAATATTTAACATTTACAATTTACTAGGTACTGTATTAACTGCTTTATATAGTAATGCTTGAAAGTACCAATAATTCCATAAGGTATATATTATTATCCCCATTCTACAAATGAGGGAACTGAGGCATAGATAACTGAGTATCTGGCCATAGCTTATTTAGCTAGGTAGGTACACAAGCAAATTTCAAACTCAGGCAGGTTGATTCCATAGCAGAAGCCTTAATAAAGGAAGTAACATTTTGAATTGATCCTTAAAAGATGAGTATAGGCTGGGTGCAGTGGGTGCTCATCACTACACGAATCACAAAAACTAGTTGGGCATGATGTTGTGCATCTGTAGTTCCAGCTACTTCGGGGGCTGAGGTGGAAGAATTGCCTAAGCCCAGCAGGTTGAGGCTGCAGTGAACGTTGAATATGCCACTGCCCTCCAGACTGGGTGACAAGAGTGAGACTCCAACTCAAAAAAAAAAAAAAAAGGGATGAGTATAATTTTAACAAGCAAGGGAAGTAGAAAGAATATTCAAAAAA